GCACTCTTAGAGATCTGCTAATGAATGAATCTTTTGGTCGAAAAGAATAATCGTTTGGTATGAGTATATCTCTCTAAACCCTAGCTTTGATTTACAGGCTGCAGAAATGGAGATCAGATACAATAACGAAGTGAAACGTAGGAAGGAAACAGAAGAAGCACTTGCTAGAGAAAAGGAAGAACTAGAGCAAGTAAAGCTTCAACTTGTAACTCTCAAAATCAAACATGAGGATATGTGTATCAAGGCTGAGGAGTTCGAGGGCAAGTCCAAGAGCGAGCTGATTCTCACGATAGCTAATTTGAAACAACAACTAGCCCTTGAAAAACTCCGCAAAGATGCAATGCGAAAAGAGATGGACAATGCTCTCAAATTAGTCAATGAGAACACATCAAAACATCAGAATATGTGTATCAAGGCTGAGGAGTTGGAGAGCAAGTACAAGAAGGAGCTGATTTTGAGGAAAGCTTACAACATAGATGCAGATGCGATGCGAGAAGAGAGGGACAATGCTATCAAATTAGTCCATGAGATCACAACAACAAAGCAAGTAGAATCGTTTCTTTGCCCTATCTCACAGGCAAGTCCTTATAATCTCAATTTCTTTACTTGCACAACACTTAATCTCGTATACTGGTAATAATATATGTATGTTTATGTGGTTTTTATATATATATTCGCAGGAGGTGATGAAAGATCCACAATTGACAAGCGATGGATATACGTACGAAGCAGAAGCAATTAAGAGATGGATTAACAAAGGTCATGATACATCGCCAATGACAAATCTCAAGCTTTCTCACACCAACCTTGTCCCTAACCGAGCTCTCCGGTCAGCTATTCAGGAGTTGGTTTGATTCTTCTTGCTTTTGGATCCGGTTTAGTCTAAGTTGAAATTTGATTTAGGGCCTATATAATAATAATCTCCTTAGAATCTCTAACTCTACTAATTATGAGCATTGCTTGAATTTGTGATCCAATTTATAGCTACTTTGAACCGGACCTTTCTAAGTTTTAGGAAGTAATTTTGTTCGGTAATATTTTCAGGCAAAAACAATGTTTATATATGTCGAATATTATATATTTGATTACCTAACATTATACAGTATGTTGTTACTCGATTCTATTTGTACTTTTAAGAGACCCATGAGTCTTCTTCATATTACGTGTTTGATGAAAGAGGTTTAAATCAGCAAAACTTTATTCTCTAGCTGAAGCTTTGCTTAATTTCTTTTGATATGAAACTCTCGGGTTTGCGTTAACAAAAATATAAACCTCTTTCATCAAACACATATATAATAGGAAGAAGTTTGATGTAAATACTGCAAAAGCAGCAGCAAGAAGAAATATAACCAAAGCAGTCTTTTGATATGAAACTCTAGAGTTTACGTTACAAGAAAACAATGTTTGGGCCTGCAATCAAAGCATTACATCATAAGACTAAGGAACATATTATGAATTAGGAAGGCTCATTTGCTGAAGTTTAGTTTCTCTATGACTATATGGGAAATGCTCTGTTATTCTCTATAAGCATCATAGAAAGTATTCGAGTAAGAGCATTAGGTCAACGATCCAATTTCAAAAGCGAAAAAAAGACTAGCAACGAAAAGCTTTATCGAGTTAGTTTATTTAACAACTCGATAGAAACAGCCCCTATAATAATTGAGTAATTTCACTAAACGGAACATGACCAATATGAAAAGCAAGAAAGAAACTAGGTAATTCATTTTGACTAACCTCCTGCTGGACGAGAAGTGGCGATTTCAACAATGTTCCCTTTTTAATCTCTTTATAAACTTCTTAATATATATCCTCTCCAACAATGTAAATTCTGGTCCTTTCTTTATCTTCAAAGTCTTCATGTTCCATGTCTTCATCTTCAACGTATGTATCACAACACACTGCCTCTTTATTCTCCTCGTCCAACAAGAAGCTTATTACATTCATCAGACTCGGTGACATTGTTATCTAAGTGACTTATAATCAGATACATAGTGGTAAAAGGCCAGCCCTCGCTGGGCCGAAGGCCCAAGTCTTGAATGTATTGGTAACTCGCTAGGCAGGTTTTTTTTGGGGGGGGTACGGGGGGCGCAGCCCCCCCGTGGTACGGTATACGTCAGTAAACCGGGTGTTTATTTGAGATGTATATATATGGAGTTTAGGTTTTATTCTTNGTAACACACGAGTAATAAGAAACCCTATTTTCGTCTCAATCTCTTTTCTTCTTTGCTTTATCGCCTTTGATTCACAANAATTGGTATCAGAGNNCCTAGGTTAAGATGACTGGAGGATCTCTTAAGTTCGAGATTCCGCGATTCGATGGTAAGGGAAATTTCGGTCTGTGGCAAGGACGAGTAAAGGATCTTCTAACGCAGCAGAAGATCAGGAAAGCATTGACGAATGAAAAACCAGAGGACATGGAGGATGATGATTGGAATGAGATGCAGGAGCAGGCTGT